ATATATGCTGCTTTAAAAGGGCAGAGAAACTGTGAACGGAGCAACCTAATGGTGGCTGAAATCATTTTTGATATCGCATTGTATTGTAACCTAGTTATAATGGATTGTATTAACAAACTGATGTCATTTTAATTGCATTCATTTATACAGATTCAGGTCTGTACTAAACTGGATAATTCTAACACCTGTAAAGGTTTTCGTGTAAATCATTTCATTATAACAGTCTACATGTTCATGGTGGGTGATGCTCCATGTTTTCTAACTAGTTCTTCTTCCAGGATCGTCCTGCATTTAGCTCCATCAAATTTCCAATGGACCATCAGAGAGTTTCATGGTCAGACTGTTCTGAGCCGACACAAGGTTTGTTCATCTAACAAAATGCTCCCTGGTGCTGAAATGTGTAATGTGGCTTTATTTTCCCAATGAGGTGAATTTATGCAGCTGTGCCATCAGGATTGACATAACCCAGTTCAGAACCTGAATCTGAATATGTGTAATAATGATGACCCAGTTTGCTTTGGCTGATTTAAGTGCAAAGACACAGTTGGTGGATCAGGAGGTCCTGCAGCAGGATGTATTAAATAATTACTTTAAGCAAAATCATAGTTGAACCACTACATGTGTTCCTCAAAAATAAATATTCCTTTTTTAAATGTATACTTTCTTATGCTGATCAAACATTTTAGGAATTTCTAATTATTAACCCATGCCAGTCTTTTATTTTGGGTTAATGTAAAATGCCTACATTCTTCTGGCCACTGGACCCGTTTTCATCTTTCCACCACACACAGTAAGCAGGATGGTAAGAGTAAAGACATCTCCATAACAACCATTAGCTGTTGACATGCCAGCTAGTTGATGCTAGGATAAAAACCTCTTTCTGTCCTACCGTCACAAATGTAAATCCAGTAGGTTGAGTGAAGAGAAGACCATAAGAGCGAACCAGGAATAAAGATGATCAAAGATTATCTCTTTATGTTCCAATCTTGTGAAATGTTTATAGGAAAAGACTAAATAGGGTAACATTCGCAAAAGGGGGTTGACTGAAGTAGGCTACAACTTCTAATGTTGCCACCAACGATTTAGTTGAAAAAATAAAAATTGTTTTGAATCTGTCAGTCCTTCTGCATTAGAAGTTTGTTTTTAGGGGTTTTATAAAGTTACCAGGGAAACCAGTAAATATGGCCGACACTGTAAATGCATCACTTAGCGGTGAGAATAAATCACCGAGGTTTACATGTGAGGGATCATTATCACATTCCACCTGTGAAACCAACACAGCTCCTGTTTTCCCTCCTCACTTTTAGTCAACAGCTAAGAAGGAGTTTCCAGTTCTTCTGTTGTCAACCATCGCCTGATCTCCTCCCCACACAGCAACAGATCTCACTCAGCTTTCATCTGTTGGCGTAGTCAGATTTCCGTCTCAGCTCTCGTTCTGTGATATGGTTGTCAGAAAGATACAGAACTGAGGCTGATCAAAGTTATTTTTGTGACTGCGGTAAGAAAGACTATCTAAATAATCCTGATTAACAAATTATTGAAATAATCAATTAATGTAGTAGTCAAATAATAGTTAATTGAAAACACACTCATAAGCAATAATTAAGGTGAAACTGTACAAAAATGTACATCTTGGAATTAAGACAGATATTAAACATCTCTTTCCATGTCCACAAGTGACATACTTTTAATTTCACCTGGCTGAATTATTTCCTTATTTGCATTTTATAGTTTTTCAATACTGCATAAAAATAGGTTCAGAGGTTAAAATGAACAATCAGCTAAATATGCCAATTTTTTAAATCCAATTTATCGATTAATTATATCACTAAAATAATCATTAGCTGCACCTTTATCACATAGAATATTGAATGTATATATTTTTATTCTCTTTAAGCTCCAAACAAACATGATCTACACAGAGTGTGGTCAGGTTTATTTTTCCAAAGATGACCGGAACAGTTTTATTTACAGAGAATGAATCACACAATAGACTCTGTTTATTAACGAGGAAACTGCTTAATTGGCTGCATTTTGGGGGGGATGTGCGCAAATGCATAACTTTCATTAGTATAAATAGAGAAAATTGTTCATGGTTTTCTTCATCTTCACAGTTTTGAGCATTGACTGTTTTGTGTTGTTTTATTACATGAAGTAGCCTCTCTCTCTTTAAATAGACTAAAGTTCATTTTAAACGCTACTCTCTTTAAATGGCACCAGATTCATAGATTTTCAGCTCCACAGATATCATCTCAATATACGGAGTCTGTTTTATTCGCTCGTCAAACAATGAAGCATCGCGTTCAGGTGAGAAACAGAAAAAAATGTCAGATTTACGAAAGTCGTTCAGAACAGTGTTTTTCTTCCCTTGGTTTTAAAGCAACATCATGAACGTGATTACATTGTCTTAGTGCATTTTTAAGTAATAAAAAACAGATATGTTCTCACACATTAAATAAAACCTTCAGTTGGTTTTATTTTGTTTCTGCAAAAGCTTGGAGTTGTAAGATTTTACTCCTCCGTTCTCCTTTGTACACTTTTCCAGCCACATTTGTTGATTCTTCCTCTAGAGGAATATTTGATAGATTTTTGTTTTCCAGTCTGTCACATGCTGGGGGAGTTTGATGGCGCGTATGATGAGTCCACGGCGTCCTTGCTCATCCCTCCTGGCAGCAGGATGTAGGCCACCTGAGGGTGCAGGGAGGCTGCGGGCCAGGCGCTGCAGCTGCAGGGAACCACGTACCCGGCTGGGCTGGACGGAGGCGGGTGCTGTCCGGGGCTCGCCAGCCCCCCGAACCCTCCGCCCTGGTAGCCGAAGGCGTGCGCACCGTAGGGCAGCGCGTGCGGCATCTCCGCAATCCGCTGGACAGCTCCGGTGCTGAACTGCGTGACAGGCTCACAGAGCGAGAATGAAGAGGGGGAGGAGGAAGAGGGAGAGAGCAGAGTTCTGGGTTTGTCCCCGGAAACGATCAAAGAGTCCAGGTTAACCCCTTTCAGGTGTTCCGCTGCGTCGCCGAGCAAAGACGGCAGCGGGAAAACCAAACGGTCCCTCTTCAGGGGGCTCCGGGGTTTGCGCCGGGGTCGGTACTTGTAGTCCGGATGCTCTTTCATGTGCTGAGCCCGCAGCCGCTTCGCCTCGTCGATGTACGGCCGCTTCTCCGGGTCAGAGAGCCGCTTCCACTCCGCGCCCAGCCGCTTGCTGATTTCAGAGTTGTGCATCTTGGGGTTCTCCCGGGCCATCCGCCTCCTCTGCCCTCTGGACCAAACCATGAAGGCGTTCATGGGCCTCTTAATGTGATCCACAGGTTTTGCCATTTTTACGGGCTGATGTTATAAATGTAAAGGGAATCAAGTCACCCCTCGGAAAAGCTCATGCTCCTTTCGTGCGTAAAAGCAAAAGCTGCTGAGGGGGGAAAAGTCCAGAAGCTGGCTTAGTTTCGGAGGATTCGGGGAACAAAAAGTCCAAACTGACTGGAGAAAAACTTGAACAGTGAAGCCGAAAGACTGAGTGAGTGAATGAATGGGGACCACGCGGGACCGAGTGAGCTTGTTGTGGATGACGCAGAGCATGTCATCCACTCATCACCACGCGCGCTCTGACAAGATGGGGGGTAATGGGCACAGTGGGGATTAAAGAGGCCATATAATCCTTTAAGACAAAATAGGAGTGTAACTACAACTTTTTTTCCCCACTTTTTCTCACATTGTCCAGAAACTTTGCTGGATTTTACTGGGATTTTGTGTGATGACCAAAACAAAACAGCCAATACTTGGGAGGGAAAAATCCCACGAGAGACAGTTTTTAACATTTTTTCCGAATGCATGTGTTTCTATGCAGCCTCCTTTACTCTGATACCCCAAAACTGTGGAATGGTTTACCTTTATATATCAGACAAACTGAGTCTCTTCAAGCTTTTTTAAAAAGTCTTCTCTTAAAGTTTATCTTTTCTCACTGACTTTGAACTTGAAGTTTCGATTTTTACAGTTATTGTTATTGAATTTACTCTTAGTATTTATTTATGGGTGTGGTGTACAACACTTCGGTCAACTGTGTTGTTTTTAGAGTGTTTTATAAATTAAGCTGGAATGTGAAAGGAATGATGCCCATAAATAAAACGAATAGCTGAGAACTGCCTTCAGAAGAAGCCAAACTTAATTTATTTACGTTTGTTTGACATGACAACTTCTTAAGCTTATATTTACTTGGATAAACTTAACAAATTAACTACGTTTTTTAAAAGCTAGATCGCCGTTTTCTATTCTCAGTGTAAATAGACTACCAACACATGGGTGTCCACATAAATTGACATGTTAAGCAATGAAAGCATCGATCAGAGAAGCAACCACACTGTAAATGCCGCCTTCGAGACACAGCTCCTCCTTCACTCCTTCAGACTAGCCAGCATTAATTAGCAAATACCTGGGGGATCTGCTGAACTCAATGTAAAAGCTATTTATCAGTGCAACTGGTAAAAACGTTGTTAAAGAACTAGTGTTTTTCTTTGTTTTATCAGAGCAGAAAAAGCAACAGGAACCAGTAGAAAGATGGATCTGTGTTTATTGCTTCCATCCCCAATCTGAATAAATAATCCAGATATAATAATTTTTCTTAAAAGTCTGAATGTCCAAAGCTGAGCAAGACGTTGAAAAGATGTGGAGCTACAGTTGAAGATTAATGCACACCATATGTTTCAGATTTTTAATCGCAAAATATTTTGAAAACCACAAAATTATGCAAGACTTTTGATTCTCTGTCACATTAAATTCGAATGAAAATCCCCACAGTATGTAGTTGTAGCCTGACAACTACATGTTGTGTTGTCCTCAATAAAACATAAAATATTTGAAAATCAGACACCAGACAAAGTGAATCACAGTAACGTCATCAGCCGGTGTAACGCTGAACTGATGCGGTGAAGCTACCAGTAGCAGGACAGCGGAGCTGCGCCAATAAGCTACAAACACTGAAGAGAAGGAGAGCTGCCATCAATACAGTTCTAGCCAAGCATGGTTTAATGTTACACAATACAGTTTTAGCAAGTTGCTCAAAGTCTAAACTGGTATTGTTGTGCATTTAAGGTGCAAAGTTTACCTTCGACCAAACGGCCCCCAGAGGAATCCCAGCGCCCCCCTTTTGTAAAAATTTCCGCCAGCGCCCCCTGCCGTCCTCTGAACGCCCCCCGGGGGGCGGTAGCGCCCACGTTGAGAACCGCTAATCTAAAGCAATCCAGGCCTCTTCAAGGGCAAAATAACCTGACATAAAAGATCCAGTGGAGCACAATAGACTGGAGGTGGGGATGATAAGATGTTTTTCTCTCCCTGTCCAGCGGCTGGGAGGACAGCCAGGCTCAGGCAGCTGATCTGCCTCCTTGCAGCTGCTGTTATCTGCTTTGCTGTGGCTGCAGGCAGGCAGGCCTCCACATGGGAGGCGCAGAGACAGTCACCCTGCAGAAGAACAGCAGCTGGAGGACGACAAAGTGTGCAGAAATGATCCGCTTCTTTTTGCTCTCCACAAAGGCTTTGGTTGTTTTAAGTGGAAAAATTGTCTTGTGTTGTTTTGTACCTATAAGTGTTTAGAGGGACTTCTAAGAAAGGGCAGCGTTTCAACTCCAAAGAGATGAGGTTGGTGGGGGAGTGGGGGGGAGATAAAGGAGGGGGGAGAGAAAGCGCCTGCAGCTCAAAATGGCGGCCATAATCCGGTTATCCTCTAGGCTCTAAAGATACTGGTCCTCTCTTTAGGAGACTATCTTTTCTTCTTATGTCAAAACTGTCCTCTATGCACTCAGGTGGATTAGGGAGTCACAGTGTAGAAAGAGGCTGGCAGGTAGCGAAAGACCCAGGAGTGAAAAAGCAAATAAAGGACGAGACAGAGAGACAGGCTGGACATTTCAGACAAGGGGCATCCGAGAAAAAAAAAAAAAAAAACGGAATCTAACAAAACAAATCAGCTCCGATAAGTAATAGAACAGCTTCTTTATTTCCTCCAACAATCCCCAGTCACTTCCCCATCTCCAACGATTTGTCATAAATCTTTTTGATTTGTCTTTCTAGTTTAGTGTTCCCAACAAGCAGGAACCTCTCTAATGGGTTTCCTGATTCTCCATCAGCCTTTACCAGTCAAAGGTCGTCTGGATTCTAGAAATATCATCTTCAAAGTATTTTAGAGTCCAATGTATAGAATGTGATCGTAATCCTGAAAAAGCTGTGGAGCAGTAGAAGCATCACAAAAACTGGAGGTTTTTCCCAAAGTAATGAGAAGATAAGACAGAAACTGGTCAGGGACAAGCGATTATTTCTATGGCGTTCTGGTTAGGCAACTAAAATCTGCTGCATTCTTCTCGTGTTTGGACTAAAAAAGTGAGGCTAAACCACAGACGTGTCTCTAAAAGCACTAACCTTTGTCCACAATTCCAAAAGTTGACACAACGACATTATCATCTGTTATGAAAAGAACCCTATAGAGTGAAACACGGTGGAAGCAGGATCATGACCTTGGATCTTTTTTCAGATGGAACAGGGTTTTTGTTAAAGGGGCAGTATTATGTATTTTCTAGGCACATGGTACCATATTAAAGCACAGTCAAGAACTATGTAACCTTCAGTTATAAAAATACCATATATGTCAACTATAATTAAAAATAAATTTCACTTTGTAACAACACTTTGAAATTGGACCTCTGTCTGTTTAAGAAACTCCTGCTCTTTCTGAAACTCCACCTTCAGGAAGTCATCACAGCATGGCTCCTCTATTAACCCTTTATCAACGTTTTTACCAGCACTTCACTGAGAAGTAGCTCCAATAATGAGCTGAGCAGATGCGCAGCTCCACCAAATGTTTGCTAAGTGCTGCTGGCTAGTCTGAAGGAGCAGAGTGGGGGAATTGTGGGGAAAGCCTCAAAAAAGTGGATTTTACATAATATCCTGAATATATTATTGATAAATCTAAAATATAGTGAGGACAACGGTCTCAATAAGCTGAAGCAATGTTGGAATGAAGAGTGTGTCAAATTCCCTGCTGATGAAGTATTGCTTTCCATGCAATGCTTTTAAAATTTTTGGTTTAGGCATTTTTAAAATAAATAATGATCATGTTGTGTGCTTTTGTAAACTTAAAGTTACATTTAGATAATTTCACAACCTGGCAGAGCAGTGATTGTTTATTAAAACTTTTGTATTTTTTATTTTTGTAATAATACAGTACTCTGAACTAACAATTATTGTCAATTTGTTGCTTTTTTTAGGAGAATCCTTCAGTCTGCACTGAAGCTCAGCTGATGAACGCTGGCTAAAGCATTTCTGTTAGATTTAGAAAAGTTCAGATGTGCTTCCACTCAAAAATTCTGTCACTTCAGCTCCAAGTAAAAACTTTAAAGTCTAAAAAAAACATTTGAGTTTAACGCGGGCTTCTGACACCTCTGAGTAGTCCATTAGGATACATTTCAGGGGGAAAATCCCCCGAAGATTTCCAACACTCTGCGAAGGATTTCACTAAATCTTGTGCTTATACTCATGATACTTAGGAAAAGTAAAGCGCTTTTTAATAGCTTTCCTACTGACACATTGATGGAGGAATACGGTTTGGCTTCGTGGCTGAGAGCTTCAATCCCAGTTTGAGGGTGGGGCCACCGCTTGATATTAACACACTCCCTCCAACATGCAAGGATAAACCTGGGGGCCACATTACTGCGATGGCCCCTTTAAGCCACCGTGTAATACAACCGAGTCAGCAATCAATGAGATGCATTTTTACAACCGGGCATTTGTCAGTGACTCAGTGCCACACAAGAAAGAGATTTAAAACATCCTGCAGGAAATGAAAGTGCTGCTTGGAAAGTGAAAGGTGGCATCTGAGCAGGCAGCTGCTTATTTCTAAAAGGACATTTTGGTTATGATAGGAGAATGAAAGTAAATATTATTTTCAACAAAATAGTGGTGACAAGCCTTTTTCAAACACATTCGTTTGACTAATTATCCAGTTTTGCAAAGTAGGTTTTAAATAGAAATATAATTCCTCCTTCTTGCACACAAAGGCCAACGTGTTTTATGAAAGGGACAGTGTTATGTAAAATTGACTTTTTGAGGTTTACATCATGTACATTATTCCCTGATCAAAAACATACCTGGAGTGTTGCCTTGATTTTTTATCATGCATGTTTGAGAAATCCTTAAATGGTAACCGTTCAGATGTGAACCTAGCCCCACCTTCAAGGACGAAGCTCCTCCACGGAGCTGCAGCTTCCAAGCTTCCCAGCTTCCACCTCACAGAGAGTAGGCCACATTCAGCTCCTTCAGACTAGTCAGCATCAATTAGTAAACACTTGGTAAAACTGTGCATCTGAGCTCATTATAACAACGCTGGTAAAAACATTGTCAAAGGGTTAATAGATGAGCCATGCTGTGATGACTTCCTGAAGGCGGAGTTTCAGAAAGTCCAGAAGTTTTTAAAGAGACAGAGGACCAATTTCAAGATGTTACATTGCACAAGTCAAATTTATTTTAAGTTATACTTGATATATTTAGCATTTTCATAACAACTGTAGGTGACATAGTTACTTGGTTGTGCTATAAAATGGCACCATGTACCAGGAAAACACATAATACAGCCCTATTAAGATTTTAGGCAACAATAAGTTTGTCTATGAAGCAATTATTAACAAAACTACTAATTTAGATCAAAATCATCAAGTTGGGACACCACCTGACTATCAGGAAATCATATGCAAATAGTTTTCAGTGTCTGTTTTTGCTTATGAATACCAGCCTGCTAAGGCCTTACCAGCCCAGGATCCTGGGTTGTTTTAATTTTTTTTTCAAGCCTCTATTGTCTTTCATCCTTTTTTTAAATTATGATATTAAATTAGTCTTGTTTTAACTGATATATTTTTTTCTTTGTTAAGAGAAAACAGCAAAAACACTGTGCTGTAAAAATGAAGGGAAACATCATAGAGAGACTGCCTTCTCTCTCTTTGGAGAACAGGATTAGAGCATCAGTGTAAAACACAGGAATTAACAGCAATTTCTTCTCCTATATAACTAGGGTGGATAAAGGAAAGATGAACTCAAAAATATATAGAAACTCATACATATCACAATGCTTCACTACAACTAGTGAAGCATTGCGCCAGTAAGAAGCTTATGGAAAAAAATAGGAAGAGTGTGGGTCCTGTGAAGATGATGTTGCACCGTAGCAGAAGGAGAAAGGGAGCAGTATTTACCAAGACAGCGGACTGTCCTGAACTCTTTTTATAGTTCAGGACTGAGCCAGGATGGAGGGGGCCTGAGGTTAGAGACGCTGTCACAACAGCAAGCTCAGATAAGCTCCCAGAGAGGAGACAGAAAAGCATCAAGTGAGCATATTTTTTAAGTCCCCTCATGCACTTCCTGAGCAACTAGATAAAGATTTTGTACAAATAGTCTCAGGAAGACATATTAGTCTCATTTGACATCTTGAAAAATCATTGGAACTATTTGCTGTTACATGATATGCAGCCTGTAGAGGGAGAAAGAAGTGTCAAAGACTCAAAAC